TATAAAATCAACATGCAAAAATCAGCAGTCTTCCTATATACAAACAATCAATCTGAAGAAGAAGAAATCAAGAAAACCATCCTTTCTATAATTGAAACCAAAAGAATCAAATACTTGGGAATAAACCTAACAAAAGAGGTGAAGGACCTATGCAATGAAAATTATAAAACATTGTGTATGTTTTTTTTTTTTTTAAAGATTTATTTATTTATTTATACAAGAACTGGGGTACAGGCCAGATGCGTGGGAGGGTGAGAGGATTCACCAGAGACAGGGCGGGGAACAGAACAGGCAAACTGATGAAATACACTGTTGACGGGAGCAGCAGGCGGGACAGGAGAGGTCAGCTGCGCCATGCGGGACCCTCGCTCACCAGCCGGGATGGAACCGGCGCTGCAGAGGCTGTGGACAGCTTCACAGTGCAGCGCTCAGCCACCTGTGCCACCAGGGGAGGACCATAAAGCATTGTTAAAAGAAATAGAAGAATACACAGAGAAATGGAAAGACATCCCTGCTCATGGATGGGAAGAATCAACATCATCAAAATGGCCATCCTACCAAAAGCAATTTACAGATTCAGTGCTATTCCAATAAAAATCTTAATGACATTCTTCAAAGAAATAGAAAAAATATTGATGAAATTCATATGGAGCCACAAAAAACCTTGAATAGCCAAAGCTCTCCTGACTTAAAAGAAAAGGGAATGGAGGTATCACACTCTCAGACTTCAAACTATACTACAAAGCCATAATAATTAAAACTTCATGGTTCTGGAATAAAAACAGACACACAGACCAATGGAATGGAATGGAAAACCCAGAGATAAAGCCACACATGTATGTTCAACTAATCTTCGACAAAGAGCAAAGAATATGCAATGGAACAAGGACAGTTTGTTCAATAAATGGTGCTGGGAAAACTGGAACACCACATGCAAAAGAAAGAAACTAGATGGCCTCCCTGGTGGCACAGGGGTTAAAGACACAGCAGTATCAAGCTATCGCCAGCCACTGCAGCACGAGTTCGATCCCTCCCTGGCCAGGAAGCTACCCATATGACACAACAGACCTCTGCTGTCTCACCTGCTGCTCCCCTCAGCAGTGTATTTCAGTAGATCTGCCTGTTCTGCTCCCCACTCTGTCTCTGGTGTATCCTCCCACCCCACACCTCTGGTCTACACCCCAGTTCTTGTATGCATAAATAAGTGAATCTTAAAAAAAAAAGAATGAAACTACTCCACTACCTCACACTATGCACAAAAATCAACTGAAAATGGATAAAAGAACTGAACATAAGACCTGAAACCATAAAACATACAGAAGAAAATATAGGTAAAACACTACATGACATACATCTCAGTAACATCTTTAAAGACTCATTCTCCAAAGCAAAGAAAGTGAAAGAAAAGATAATCAGTTGGGATTACATCAAACTGAAAAGGCCCTGAACAGCAAAAGAGACATTAACCAAAACAAATAGACACCCTATTGATTGGGAGAAAAATTTTTACTCCATAAAATTGATAAGGGACTGATCACAAAGAACCCACACAACTTAACAAAAACAAAATAAGCAATGCAGTCAAAAAACGGGCGGAAGAACTTAAAAGACACTTCTCCAAAAAGGAAATGCAAATGGCCAACAGGCATATGAAAAAATGTTCAACATCCTCATAATTTGGGAAATGGAAATCAAAACCACAGTGAGACACTACCTTACACCAGTAAGATTTGCACATATTAAAAAAAAACTAACAACAACAAATGTTGGCGAGGATGTGGTGAAAAGGAACTCTCTTACACTGCTGTTAGGAATGCAGACTGGTCCAACCACTATGGAAAACTGTGTTGAGGTTCCTCAGACTACTTAACTTGGAGCTACCATACAACCCAGCAATTCCATTCCTAGGAATCTACCCAAAGTACCCAAAAACATTAATTCAAAAGGATACCAGCACCCCTGTGTTTATTGCAGAACTATTTATAATAGGTAAGACTTGGAAACAACCCAAATGCCCAAAAATAGATGACTGGATCAAGAAGGTGTGGTATATATACATAATGGAATATTACTCAGCAATCAATAAGGATAAGCTCATGTCATTCACAGCAACAGCGATGGAGCTGGAAGGGATTATGCTCAGTGAAATAGGCCAGAAAGAAAAAGAAAAATATCGGATGGTTTCACTTATAGGAGGAATGTGGGGGAACCAAATAAGGGAGCAGGAAAAAATAATTACAATGAATTAAAAAACAAAATTAGCAGGCAACTATAAATCAGAGACACTGCAGGGGAGGGGGAGGGAAGAGCACAAGGAACTATGGTGATGGTGCATGAGTGAATTGGTGAGTGGGAATTATATGGGGACTACACCTGAGGTGAGAAAGCATACACTGTACAAAAAGGAAGAATGATGTAAAATATATATAAAATAAAAAAACCAAACCAATCCTTAAATGTGTATGCATCAAACAGCAGAACTACCAAATATCCAGGAAAAACTGAAAAACAAAACAAAACAAAACAAAAAAGTAAGAAGCAATAGACAACTCCACAATTGTAGACTTCACCTATTCTTTTTTTAAAAATTAGTTTATTTTATATATTTTTAAGAACACTATTAACCAAGAAGATCTCATTTCTGTAACAAAATATGTGTAGGATGTAGATTCTAAAAACTACAAAATGCTGATTAAAGACATCAAAGATGATCTAAATATGGGGGAGAGAGATATCATGTTTGTGGGTTAAAAGACTCAACATAATAAACATGTCAGTTCTTTCCAAATAGATAAATAGATTTAACACCATCGCTATCAAATTCTCAACAAGGTATATTTTTAGGTATAGAATAGTTCTTTTGTAAATTTACACAGAAAAGAACATAAATTAGCTAAGACGATTTTGAAAAAGAATAAAGTGGGTGGAATTGCTCTATTCAATTCCAAAAGTTATTTATCTGTAATAGTAAGACTGTGTAATTGGTGGAGGGATCAGTGGAACTGAGAATCCAGAAACAATCCAAAAACAAGTATGACCAATTGATTCCTGACAAAGGTAAAAAAGTCAATCAGATGGAAGAAGGCTAGTTTTTTCAACAAATGGTGCTGAAAAAATTGGAAATCCAGAGGCAAAACATTGTACCTTGACCTAAACCTTATACTTTATATAAAAATTAACTGAAGATGGATTATAGTTTTAAATATCAGTGAATAACTCTAAAACCAGAAAAAGGCAAAATCTGCAGGATATAATTCTTGGTAAGGATTTCTTATCTAGAACTCTAAAAACACAATCCATAAAAAATTGATAAATTGAAATTCACCAAAATTAAAAATTTTGCCCTGTGAATGATCCTGTTAAGAAAATAAAAGGATGAACTAATAATATTCTATATGTGAATTCTTTGTCAAATGTCAGAATACATAAAGTACTTTCAAAATTCAACAGTGAAAAATTCAATGTTAGAAAATGGTCAAAAGGCATGATGAGACATTTTACTAATGAAGGCATGGAGATGCCAAATAAGCACATGAGATGTTCAATATCACTAGACAACAGGGAAATGCAAATGAAGAGCATGGTGAACTATCACTACACATCTATTGGAACAGCTAAATGAAAAATAATGATAATTCCAAATGTTGGTGGGGATGCAGAGAAACTTGATTGGATACTTTGCTAGTGGGAATGTGAAATGATATAGTCATTCTGGAAAATTGTTTAGCAGTTTTTTCCTAAACTGCCAATAAACTAAACATATACTTGCCACAAAAACCTGGAAATTGTACTCCTGGGCATGTACCCCAGAGTAATGAAAACTTATGTTCACACAAAAACCCGTAGACAATTGTTTATGCCAACTTTATTTATAAAAAGCCAAATAGTGGAAGCAAAAAATATCTCTCTCTAGGGCAATGATCAAGTAAACCATTATCATGAATGGTTTAATTTATACCATGGAGTGGACTAATTTATACAAAACAACTTGGATGGATCTCCAGGGGATTATGCTAACGGAAAAAAGGCAATCACAATAGGTCATATACTGTGTGATTCCATTAATATAACGTTCTCAAAATGTCAAATTTAAAGAGATTTATGTTAGTTTCCCGAGGTTCTCATAACAAATTGCCACAACTTAATGACTTAAAACAATATAAATATATTCTCGTAGTTTTTGGACACCAGAGTCTGAAAGCAAGGAGTCAGCAGGTCTGGTTCCTTCTGAAACCAGTTCTGCAGGAGAATCTGTTCCGGGCCTCTCTCCTAGCTTCTGGAGGCTGCCAGCAATCCTTGGCATTTTCATTTCTAGTTGCTGCCAATCTCTGTCTCCATCTTTACATTGCCTTCTTCTCCTTGTGTTTCTTACTAGGATACTTCTCATTGGATTTAGGCTTTACCTTCACTTTAGAATGAACTCATCTCAAGATCCATAACATAGTTGTGATGAACTTTGGCAGTAATGGACAAGTTCTATATCTTGGTTACAGCAGTGGTTCTGTGGATTTCTGCATGTGATAAAATGACACACATTGTGCCCATATCAACTCTCCTGGTTTTGATAATTGTAGTTTGGTTATGTGAGATATTAGGTCACTGGGTGAAACTGAGTGATATACACCAGAGGACCTCCCTGTATTATTCTTGCAACGTTCTGTGAATTCTATAATTATTTCAAACTAAAAAGTCAGTCCCCACTTCCTCACCCCTCAACATAAGCAAAGACAAAGGGCAAATGATAAACTGGCAAAAATATTTCTCATTTCACAAAGGAATAATCTATGGGATGTAGGTGGTAGATGGTCTTGGAAGATGAGCACCACCATCCTTTCCTGTGTCCAACACTACTCCATCCAGAGGTAGAGTCTATTTCTCATCCCTTGAATCTGTACTGACCCGTGAATTTCCATGACCAAGAGAATAAGAAATGATGTTCTAGGACTTCTGAATCCAGGTCTTAAGAGAATTGGCAGCAGCTATCTGCTTCCTTTTGAAAGGAAGCCGCTGTGAAAGAAGACTGACTTCCCCAAACACTCTGCTGTGAAGAAATTCAAGTTAGCTACTTGAAGAGGTCCCCAGGGAGCACCACAGCGCTGGACATGTGAGTGAAGACGTACGTATTGGACTGTCCAGTTCAGCTGGCAACTAAATGCAACCAAGTAAGTACCCCTGGCTGGGGGCAACTGGAGACCCCCCAGCAGAGCCCATTCAACCCACACAAATAATAACTTGTTTTGAGCTGTTAAATTTTGTTGCTTGTTAGGTGGCACAGATAAATTAAGTAGGGCCTTTTCTTTGTATGAAAATGGGCAAAGGAATAAATAGGTTATAGAGATAGGAATGCAAATGGCTCTTAAGCACCATGAGACATTCGGCCTCACTCATATGAACAATGTAAATTAAATACACATAGGTATCATTTCTCACAAATCATATTGGCAAAAGTCAGAAATTTGAAATTTGCAATTCCTTATAGTGCAACTATAAGGAAATAAATTTGGTTGTATGCAAAATTTTACAACTCCTAAAGAGAGCATTTTGGCATTACAAAAAAAAAAAAAAATTCAAATACATTATCCTTTGACCCGCAATCCCACCAGTGGGAATCTATGCTACAGAGACATATGCACAAGCATGGCATGACCTATAAATGAGCATATACACTGTGGCACTGTTTGTAAAGGCAAAAGACCAGAAAGCTAAGGGGCTGTCAATAGGGAACTATTTAAATACACATGACTTGACTTAACAATAATGCTTGCAGATCTTTTCCAAGGGACTTCCTAACGTCAAAGTTCCAATAGGCTTGAGTCCAACCCAAATGAGGCAACAGGAGGGAAAAGATGGAGCCTGGGGTGGGCATCTGAGACAAACCGCACAGCCTTCCCAGCATCAGCCCTCCAGGATGGAGGTAGTGAAAGAGCATGTTAACAGAGGGTGAGGAAGCTTCCTAGCAGAGATGACCCTAAAATCAGGGCCATTTCATCCTGCCTTCCCTGAGGTGCAGCCAGTGTCACCGACAGGCACACCTGTCCGCTCACCCTCACCCAACAAAACTGTGGGGTCCCAAGGAAATAATGGCGGTTGGCAACAAGCTTGGGATGTTTCTACCTCACACTTGCATGTATTTTTAAGAGGAATTTTATTTTGTGGGTAGCAAATAAATTTGTATTGTTAACAAAACAAAGTAAAGCAGAAATCTTTGAGGTGGAAGGTGTCAGAGGGACCCAGGGGCTGGAGCAAGAGGCAGCTTGATGGGCTCCTGTCCACACCTCCTTCTTCTGTGGTTGCCTCCTACCCCATCCAGACCCTGCCCTCACTCTCCCCTTTCCATTTGACAATTCTGAGAAAATTGTGTTCGCTGGTGATTTTCTAGAGGAAGCAAAAAGAACGGGTCTCCATATCCTTGACCAGCCTCTCCATCTGAGTGGACCACTTCAGCTCCATTTGTCCTCTGGGCCCAATAGGACGAAGAGAACTGTGTGGGCCTTCCTGACTTCAGGGCAGATCTCCCTGTGCATTCCTGTTCCCTGCCCCACCCTGGGAGCCACACTGTGTTCCCCACATTCAGGTATAGCCGGTAGCAGACAGTTGGAACACAGTGTAACCCCACAGGGCAGCAAAGGAGACATGGAGGGGAGCATCTCAGACAGGAGGAGGTGGTTGATCTTCCTTGGTTGGTGGGGGGCAGGTAAGGGGAGACAGCATGGGGGGCTGCAGATGGGGTCTGGAGCAGAGTGGGAGAGGGGCTGTCAGGTCCAACAGCAGCTCCTGCGAAGACATGAGGGGCAATGTGTTTGGAGCTCACAGTTTAGATATCCTTCCAGACCACCCAGGTCAGGCCTGTGTGGCTGGAGATTCCCCAGTCAGAAAAGCCCCGCTGCATTTATGAAGCATCTGTCCTGCCTTGGGCGTTTTCTTCTGGGGACCTGCGAGGGAATGGGGAGGTACCTTGGGAATGTCCTCCTGCATGGGTGACTGAAAGGCCCGGGTCCTGGGGTAAGGATGCCTCAAAGCAGAGATCTGGTAGCAAACCAGGAACCTCACCAGAACTTCCAGGTCTCTTAGGTTGTGTTTGGGGATCATGGGGTCTTGGATAGAGATGGCGGTTAGATGTCACCCTGGAGCGGGGCTGGAAGGTCTGCCCTGTGCAGTCCAGTGTATTTCTGAGCCATATGCTGTGTAGAGACCAACATATAGCACCCCACATGGTCCATAGCAAAAATATGGTTTATTGTTATCACAGCCACAAATTTTAGGAGGACAGTGGCTTTGTCATTCCAAGGAGAGGAAGAGGGGTTGTTTCTCTGGGTGTTGGTGGATTAGTGACAAAGCGTAGGTATTAGGGTGAACTTGCCCTTCAAAACAAGCCCATTTTTGTTTAGATTGGGATGTGTGGCTTATTATTGCGACTAGTACCATCCCAGGGACTGTGGCTTAAATGTCAAGATATATTTTTCAGGTGCATAAGACACCAGAGATCATAGCTGTCTGGAAGAGTGCATTTAATTAGCAAAGGGAGCCCATAAAACTGCCCCAATCTTGATGAAACAGGACTGACGGGCTTTGTGCAGCCCTGGGTTTTAATTACAGAGCTAGATCCCTGGTGATAGTTTCCAAAGGGCCTTGGTACTGTGTTAGTGGGAGCTGGTTTTAACTTTCAAATCTTATCTGCTAAGTCCCGAATGCCAAATACCTCTGGAGAAAGAAAGAGAGCTACATAAAAGCACTTTCTGAGTAGCTGATAGTGTAGAGCCTTCCATGTTCCAGGCGCCAGCACAGTTATTTAATGGTCCAACAAGATTTTTTTTTACTCCTTTGGAAGATTTGGGAGACCACTCACATTTGGAAAGGTGGCTAGTTACCAGTTTTCACCTGACTCTGCCTGATGTTTACTTTCTCTTGACCTACTATCTGCATCCTAGGCCCTTGTGGAGAAAGCCAGAAACATCCCTTCTTTGATGACTGCAGCAAAACAAAGACTCCTGTGGTTCAGTGACAGTCCAGCCACGCCCACCCCAGTGGCTGTCTCCCCAAGAGGTGCATGGGGAGGTCTTGACCTTTGGGGAGCTCTCAGCTTACTGCCAGGTAAGCAAGCATGCTGCCATGGGGGTGACAAAGTGACCTGGCCACGTGATGACTGGTGGGAAGTGAACACAGCCGACCATGCCTGTGCATGCTGGGAAGATGCAGGACTCACTGATAGCTGGAGTTTAGATGAAGACTTTACTTGGCAAAAGGGGGGGTATTACTATGGATCTTACAGGAAAAAAAAAGGGTAAAAGGACTACTAGGAACAACTATTTGCCAACAAATTAGATAATTAGATAATGAATTTGTTGGAGACAAATTGCTGAAAGTGGCTCAAGAAGAAATAGAGAATCTGAATATATCTAAGCATATATAAACAGATTGATACCAAAAGTACAGGCTTCAACAAAAGGAAAAGTAGATAAACTGGATTTGGTCAAAATTCAAAACATTTGTGTTTGGAAGAAAACCATCAAAAAAGTAGAAATAGTACTTATCCGATAAGGGACTTATATCTAGATTATAGAAGAAACTTTACACTTCATTAAGGAAAAACCGAGGGCCTCCCCGGTGGCGCAGCGGTTGAGCGCTGGGTTGCGAAGCTGCCCGCAGTCTCTGCGGCGCCGGTTGGATCCCCAGCTGCTCCCCGGCCACCAGAGGAGGGTCCCGCATGGCGCGCAGACCTCTCCTGCCGCCCGCTGCTCCCCTCAGCAGTGTACTTCGGTCCTTCTGCCTGCTCTGCTCCCCGCTCTGGCTCTGGTGAATTCTCTCGCCCTCCCGCGCTTCTGACTGTACCCAGTGCATGTATGAACAAAACAAACAAACAAATAAATAAAAATACATGCCTCTCAAAAAAAAAGAAAAGGAAAAACCGAATTAAAAGTAGGCAAATGAATGGAATACACATTATTTTTTCCAGAGAAGATATATAAATGGCTAATAGGTACATAAAAAGATGATCAGCATCATTAGCTATCATGGGACTGTGAATTAAAACTACAATGAAAAAACACTTCGTATTCTGTAGCATGGTTGGAATCAGAAGACCAGATGGCAAGCACTGGTGAGAATGGGGAGCAGTGGGTACTTCATACACTGCGTCACCCCAAGCAGGGACGGGCGCAGAGGGGCGAGCTCAGGGATGGCCCGAGGGCCTGGAGAGGTTTCCCGGAGAGGTAGCCGTGAGCTACTCCTTTCACGGCTTTCTCACTGGTTTTATTTTAGTTGGAGAAGATGATGAAAAAACGCAAATGGAATTTGAAAACAAACCAACAAATGAAGAGCCTCAGCCAGTCCCCGATACTCTTCTGGATGTGTCATTTGCAAAATGTGCCTGTCTCAGCGCCAGCGGGAAATACTGAACATGAGCAAGTACACGGCTGTAAGCACCGAGTGTGGCGCGGTGCGGCCTGGGACAAGACCATGTACGTGGCTGCTGCTGACACACTGAAAGCGTCTCCAACTGAGTTACTCTTTCCCTTAGTGAGTGTCTTGTTTTTTCATACTGTTAGTCTGTGTGTGAAGGAGGCCTTTTTTGTTTGTTTTTCATTGGGAAGATGAACAAAGGTGACTATTTGCTTTAAGCTTTTATTTATTAATTTAACTTATATATTCATTTAAACACCCCCCCCACCCCCGTCATGGAAGAGATGCACACTTATGGCTTTTACCATTAGTGGGACTGTTATTCTTTAAATCTTCTGTAATTCTTGCTTTATAAAGACCACTGCTGTGTGTCACGAAGATATCAACATCTACGCTGTGAACTGCACCTTTACCCTAACAAGGTGTAACATCTTGAAGGGTCTAGAAGAAGTGCAGTGGGCTTTGTATTGCTTATTGCTTTTTCCCATGATTCCAACCGTCTCTGTCTTCTCTTTTTGCTGCATTTTCTGGTAAAAGTTTTACATACTTTCATGTTTCGTCTCTCTGAGCTACTGTTTTAGTTGTAGTTCTTGTAGGTGGCAAAGAGTGGGGTACTACCTTTTGTCTTAGTTCTGCCACATAATTTAGCTTTTGGGCTTAAAAAACCTCCCTAAATGATTGGCTTTATTCATGTCTTTTTATGTGTATTTCTTTGGATAATTAGGAAGTTTAAGATTTTTTTATTGAGATATGGATAGCTTTAGGTATAAAGCACAATGATATGATATACAAGTCCTCACTCACTTATCTGAGGGGTTCTTAGAAACTGCAGCTTTAAGATACATGACCTGAATTACAAAAGCAGGTCCTTGGATAGTGTCAGCGTATGGCTGTATGGCTTTTTTCTCCTCGATGTTATAATGAAAGATTGAACTCAACAGTGTGATTGGAGGAGCTGTTGTAGATGGTACACAGGCTTTCTGTCATTTCAGGGCCCCATCCTGTTCTGTCGAGCTGATGGGTCACCCTTCTTTCTTTGAGTTAATCTTGCATGGTAACCTGAGGTGGTCTCAAATTTTGCAAAGATGCTCTAAGAATCTCTGTGTTTAGTCTTTGTTTTAGTTTGGACTCTGGTTGCAGGTGATAGGGATGATTTGAGTAGCTGTGGGAAATTGGGAGCTTCCTGGTCCCTGGACCTCCAGGGGGATGGGGCATGCTCGTAGCCCCTTGTGCCTGAGCTGGCAATTTCATTGCTTCTTTGCCAGCTTTTAGTGCTACCATTCAGCTTTCCTGTTCTTTACTAAATTAATGGGTGTCAAATGAAGCTTAATGTTGCTTTAATTTTTAATTACTGTGGTTGAAATGCCTGTGAATTTGTTTGGAATGGGCTATTTGCTCTGTGGCCACGGACTGTGTTTGTTCCTTAGCTTATTTACTGCCCACGGGGCTCCTTCCAGACTCTGCCAGAGAACTGGGACACAGGGCCTGGCCTCCACATAGCCTTCTCATTTCTCAAGAACACACAGAGCGTGTCTCCAACTGTGCAGCAAAGGCCAGTGTGTTCTGCTCCCACCATGGGGCCGGCTGTGTCTGCAGGTTGCCCAAAAGGGACCGCGGAAGTGATAAGTGAAAACCTATCACAACTTCTGGAACCAGCTCAGAGGGCACACTCGGCTGTTGGAACACCAGCAGGACTCAGCCAAGCTCAGGGACATTGTCAGGAGAATGATTCTGTTTCGACTGTTGCAGTCCTTGTGGGGGCAGGTCTTTGGAGGACAGCTGACGGAGAGCACAGGTACTGTCGGAAAGGTGTTTGTGCAGGAAGGGAGAAGCAGAGGGCATTTGGACATTGCCTCGTGTGCCGTGACCACATTCCAGATCTTGGAAAGAGCTGTGAGCGAAACACAGCAAGCGCCCTTTGTGTGGCAGGAGTATGAGTCAGCAAGCTTAGCCACGGTTTACACACTTATTCATTGTCATCTGTGGTTTTCACACTGGTTTACTTGAGTAAAAGCC